TAAGCCTTGAAAGTAACCGTCGATTTCGACGGGTTTCCCCTAGTTTATAATATTAGTAGGATAAACAACTATTACTGGATGCATTTTTTACACCTACATGACTTAATCTTTAATCAAACATTCTAAACCAATAATCGATACAACGCTAGGATTGCTAGGAAGTAGTTTCTGCATTTCGTAACCTCGCGATGAGAAATTTACGGTCTCTGCTTCCAAATCTTGGAGCGGTCAAAAAAGCGACGGCGAAGAACAAAGACCTAACCGCCACCGCAGGCTGGTCCTTCGATTCTATGATTTATTGCTTCCGTTGAAAACCGCAATGACCAATGACGGACGATGCCTACTGTTCATTCATCATTGGTTCTGGCGGGAAATACAGCGTATTGTACAAAGTTAGCATGAAGTTGCGGTCGTGCAATTGCACCAAGCCCTCAAAGGGTCCTAAAAAATGTTCCTCAGTTGCGCCAAGCCCAAGTAGGGGTGAGTTACCAGAGAAGGAATTACCTTGTTTACGTGTCATCCTAACCTATCATAACCTAAACTACTCAATTATACAATAATCAATCAATAATCAATCGTTGAGATGGGGACGCCACCTAGGTGCGTATTTTAACCCAAATATGAGTGAAGGATGAGTGTAGAATGGTGTGTGATGACCTGTGTAGCTTTACTGACTAAGATCAGCGGTTTCATTAGTCAGGATCATTTATTTAAAGCCCAATAATCAGGAACAGCTGGGTCCAGTTTCGAACCATCAAAAAGCTACTGACTTTTCTCAGGATCGAACCGGTGTCCTTTTGATTAATAGGCGAGCCCTATAACCACTCAGCTACCCAGCCAGTTATATAATCAGTGCAAGGAAGCCCACTTTGTCAGGTGGCTGTAGGAAAAAATATTTTCTTGCGAACACTTAAAAACAGTCAAAGACGGCCGCCACTTTGCTCAGTTAGGGAACGTATCGGGCTCCCTGGAGTAGTTGGCGCGATTCAGGAATACCCGCATACCTGACTCAGGTCAGTTGGCGCAATTAATGCCCACCCAAAGTTGCAGCTTATAAGCGTGAGAAACTGACTATGACGGTCATTGGGGAAGATCAGCCGGTAATGTGTGACAAAGAACCAAAGCAATCTGCCCAGGTCCTTTCGATGGCACTGAAAAGTTATCAATAAAAATGGGGCTTTAATTAGGCCCTACTTATGGGAAAAAGTGAAAATTCTGGAGTTTATTCGAAATTTAGATAAGCTTTATAATCAAAATTATTAGAATGCAGTCGAATCAAGAAAGGTGTGTATCTTTTGGAAACTAGGCGTTGTCCCTGTTGATAAGGCTTGTCACGGTAATCTTTGGCCACTTCTGACTTAAACTCTGAGTATTAACCTTTTTATCAACCCTGCTCTCTTTACTCGCTCTAACTCTCAATCCAGAATTCTACATGTTTTTCAAAGAGTGCTCACATTTGCACTTACTTCTTCCCAAAATAAAAACTAATGTTTCACTTATTCCTCTAACACCTTAATAATCTTCTAGACTCGCCCTGCCATGTGCTCGCAATATTTTAATTAGTGGATCAAGCTGCGCCGATGTGATAACCTCACTATAAATAGGCACACTGGTAATCTACGAGAGAGCCTAGGCCGCAACTTGGCGGGAACTCTTTGCCAGATTCGAGGCGACGCTTTTAGCGGGAACACCCATTACGGGATTACTCGCCTTTGAACCTGGCTCAAAACTTATCACAAAGGTCCCTGGACACGCAGTGTTTCAATGTTTGTAAAAGGTTGTGCAGAATTGCAAAATGGGTATTAAATTACTAGAAAATCCCATTCTTAGGAAATTTAAAGTGCAAACAAAGGTTATAGAAGACCTAAAATTTAATTTGAAGGTCTAAGTTAACGATTCTCTGAGCAACTCATTAGAGAACAAAGTTATGACCGAAATATGTTTATCGAATACTGCACATAGCCTACATAGCTACAACTGCAAGGCGGTAGCATCGATTTATAATAAGTATTTATACATCTATGGTCGGTAGCTGATTATTTCTGTTCAATGGTATCGCATCGAATTACCGTACAAATCCATGACAGCGATATCTAGGTTCGAATCCTATTGTCCCTTATAAATCTTGCTACAGTACTAAATATAGTTGAAGACTAATGGATTTCGTAATTAAATATTTGATTTCGCCCGATAACAATTATTTCAGTAATTCCAGTAGCAATTAAATAAGCGCGAAAATGAAACCAAATCTAAATTAAAAACATAGAACACTTACCAATAATAAAATAATAATTATTACAAATTCATTAGTACTGTTCATCCTACTGTTACTTGCTCACCAAGTTGCTCAGCCAAGTGGTGTTACTGGCTACTTGCTCACCCCTTGCTTTGCTGGATACGTTCCGGGGCTATGTGGACAGGCAAATTTAAGGATAAGAAAACCAAACAATAAAGGGATCGTCATAACCTCAATATAAATGTAAACGTCTTAATTTTTATCAGAGAGACATGTAGCAATTGCATCGTAAAAAAACCTCCCTCGCTCGGTACAAAAAGTCAAAACAAAACACGCATCGAATGGGTAAACTAGCTTTCAGAGGGTGGGGGGGAGGGGGGAGGGGGGCTGTGATTGGATGAAGTTTACGACACAAAGTTAACAAAAGCCGAACTTATAGTCCGGTTTACTGTCCGCTGTACGGTTTTATGAGCCCGACTTTTTGATTATAGTTTTGTTCACTAAAACATAATTTGAATTTTATGCAACGGCAGTAAAGTCGCAGACGACGGCGTCTCGCTATATTGGTCCTCTGGGCCCGCTTGTCTAATTAAGGCCTTTTAACAGAAGGTATAAAATAACATTTGGGCAACGATAGCCCCCTAATTACAAATCCTATCCCACTCGAAGGGTTTCGAAATCAGGCGGAATTCGTTTCGGCGATGTCAGTGGATGCTGGTTTCTAGAATTGTAAAATAGGTAAAAAGTAAACTATACTGAATTTGAGGACCTTTTCCATTAATTCACCACCTAGTTTTGGAGCAATAGATTGTTAGCAATAGAAGTGGTAATGAATTTAAGTTTAGTTTTTGAAAAACCTCCGAATTTGAAACCGGATAAGATGAGGTAAGCTACGTACTTTAAAACATACTGTATGAAAGTTCACGAAACCCCTTTTAAACTCGGCAAAAATAAGGAAAAAAGAGAAACATGTCCTGACGCCCCATTCATGTAGCTCTTAAGGAGACGTTATTAATTCTTCTTCTTATTTATTTACTGCACTGACACTATGTTGCACTCAAAATCGTAACGATGTTATTTTAGATCGTCCACGTGGCAAGTGTGTAGGGACTTACATTGTAAAGCCAATTTGGCCCGCGCTGCAACATTCCCCGCTACCAGCCAAGCTTATCTGCTTAATTTATTGATAAAGAGCTACGTAGATTTGGCAACTTAGTAGTATCATTTTAATTTAGTTCTACACGTTCAGGTGCATATTTCCCATTTAATGGGCGCTGTAATTTCCCGGGTGACAAGTCGTAATTTTAGACACGCGTGTGAAACACGAGTGATTTATTACTCTCGGATTTACTTTTTCGTTGGTTATGCAAAGTGTAGTAGATTTTTTATGTGTTTATCAACAAGTTCTATCGTCATGATTCTTTAAGGGGACACGGAGTGTATGTTTACCAAGTAACCAGAAGATTTGATCATGAAGTTAATGGTTTTCATTGTGTGGAACTGGACCTTCCCCTGAAATTTGGCCTTTTAAGAAATCGTGCTAGCTAAGGAAACATGATCTTCATCAGTAACACAGCTTCACAACAAGGCATCTGAATACATTCAATCCCCATCCTTCAGTTCTATTCAGGTTGAACATACATCATTGCATCTCTAACTCACTAACGATCAATAATACTTAAAACAGAACCGTTTCCTTGCACGATTTTGATACCTTTCTAGCTACATTACAGTCCCTTAGAAAACTTGCTTAGCTGGGTTCTATTTGGGGTAAACTGTCCATGTGTGTCAACTTACATTATGAACATTTGGTTTCGGTTGGATGTCCACAGTCCGAGATATATGTATCTCAGTAGCAGACAGCCGCACCTGCTATGCAGTCCCGGGGTGGCGGGAAGCAGACGTCGCGTAGGGGTGGTACCAGACCGTCGTCATGGCAACCATGAATGAACAACGCGACGCGGGGAGCTAGCTGCCCTTGACCTAGTACAGCCCCCTCCCTCTCATAACAGCCCTGATATTGAGCTTATCACCCCAGACTTACCTGGGACTGGGATTAAGTCCTGATAAGCAGTCATTGCTGCAACCTACATCTTGTGTGAGGGGAGTTAAGTCCCAAAAATCCATGTCGAAATGTCGGGATTGGAGTAATTTTTCAAGTTAGGATGTGAACTGTACTGAATCATTTTTGGAGCTAAAAAGATATCGAAGTGGTCAAAATCCAGGTGTATTAGTTGTTGGAATCTCTGGATTGGAATAGTTGAAATCCTAGGATTGAAGTGGTCATAACCCTGGGACCGGAATTGTTTGATTGATATCCTGAGATTGGAACTGCTAAGATGGTGGTGAAATAGTACACTAGGAGAGTTGTTAAAATCTTGAGATTTGGATCAGAAAAATCTTGGGATTGCAATTGACATAACATCTGAATTAGAACTATCAAGCTTGAATGCACTAGTTAAACTTTAAATAGAAAATATTAATTATAGCCTATCCATCATCTAAATTTAACAATCTAATAGCTCATTGCAGTCTAATTAAACTCTCAAGGAAATCGATAATATCACTTTCATGTAAAAGATTTTCCAAATTTAGTAAGTCTATGTGATTTGACAAGTTGTGGAGCTATTATCAACCTACTTTTATTGAACTGCCCTGGCCAAAGAAACCTTAAATCTTTGTCAGTAATCTACTTATTTCTTTTTCATCCTCTGAATATAGGTGTAGCCTGGTGCTCTTGGTAACAGTCCATGTATTGTTACAGATCGAGGAGTGTCTGGAGGTGGTGGGAGACAAGTTGATAGAGGAGGATGAGGTGGTGTCTTGCAAGAGAGCTAAGCTGGAGGACAGCGGGCTACTCAGTCCGTCAGCGGCGGCAGTGTACCTGCAGCACTACGATGCATTCCACTACTACAACAACTGGTACGAGAGCTGGGCCAGGAACATGGGCGCGTGGAGACCCTGGCCCTCCTTGAGCAAAGAAAGCAAACAGTGAGTAGACAAAAGAGTTCATAAAATTTGGTAAAAAAAAACTTGGTCGTGCAATAATTGCACCAAAGAGTTCCTTAATTGCACCAAGCCCAAGGTAGGGGTGAGTTGCAGGCAGAAGCAATCTCCTTGTTTACATGTCATCCTCTCCTAACCTCCTATTCTATCCTAATCTAACCTAACCAAACCTACTCAATTATACAGTCAAAGAGGGCCGCCACTTTGCTTAGTTAAGGAACGTATCGGGTGGCTCCCTTGAGCAGTTGGCGCAATTAATGCCTGCCCAAAAACTTTGATCCCGAGTTTCTACTAGACCATACAAGTTAAGTAGGAAAACAAAGGACAATTTGTATATCTTGTGAATGGCAAATTACATTTTCTAATGGTAAACATAAATTTGACTAGCTTGAGTGAAGTGTTGGAATAAAAACACAATGATATTATTTCTTCCATTGTAACAACTACTCAATACGACGAAAACATTTTCTACTTTCTTAGTGTCTTCATGGTCATATAACGAATTTGAGATTCAAAATTAGATACTAATATTATAAGGACCCACTCTTTAAATGGGCTGACTGAGCTAGCCCAGAGTGCCACATTTGTAAGGGCACTGACTTCCCAACAAGTTTGTATGCCAATATTTTTTTGATTAATTTGCTAAAAAATATAAAATACACAATTCTTAATCAGTATTATAACCTTCAAATGGCGTTACACTAGTTTCCAGATACTTTAATTTCAATAATTTGCCCAGTAAGGAGGATTTTAGTTAGGAGGTGCTATTTACCATAAACCTTGGCCTGGATAGTATTATTCATAAAACAATGAAACAAACATTTTATAACCCAAGGATTTTGCATACAGACAAAACTGGAACACAAGATACTAAGGATTCAAAATGTATATTTCAAACCATTCGTGATCAGGTGATAAAGAATCACACTATCAAAACAATGCTTTAGCCCAAATCCAACAAAGTTTATGAGAATCATGTTTTGTTGTTAAAGACTTATCTGATGGTTCTGTTCCAGTGTTCCAGCGTATTTAAGCCACGACCCGCCTGTCCTGCTCCATCCTGAGAGAGTTGTTCCGCTGTCCCAGATGGAACAATTTGAGAGCAACTTCCAGCCCAATGTTGCCCTAGCACCACCAGCTCATAGGCACGACTCAGTTCCAAAGCAAGAGGTTAGTTTAGCTGAAATATACAAGATATAATATTTGCCTGGTATTTAGAAGATTGATGGTTTTATTCTGGTAAAATATTTCCTTTTGAAACTGGACCCAGCTGTCATTTATGGGCTTTAAAATAACTAGCTGTTACCCACGGGCTCCACCCCGTTTACTACATAAGTATTAATAAAACTATCGATTGGTTAAGCTGAAATAAACAAAGCAGAATACAGTAATGGTAATACAAACAAATAATAACAGCTGAGATATTTTTAACATTAGGTAAATGGAAAGTTCCCTTTGGAAAGCAATTACGACTTTATAGGGCAATTTATAAAATAATGGTTAATTTTGCGCAAGGTTTCTCGTCATGACGAACATTTTAAGTATATGGTTTATGGGGGTGTGACTTGTAGTTTTTTCACCATTTTGATCACTCATGTTAGTGATGGTGTGTCAGCTCTCAGCTGTAATCTAAAGATTTCATAGTACCATTGACTATTGGATACAAAAGTTGTATTAATAGTCAAAGATAGTACTTTCAACAGAGTATTCCCATTGGATGTCTTATAAACTCGGTTATTTAATTGCAAGCAAAGAAAACAATTGGAATAAGGATAGTTTAAATCATTTAATCAAATCCCCTTGCTAGTTGAAATTGATAAAATATTTTTTGCAGAAATATTTTGAAATTAATGTTGACATCTTTGAATTGATTGTTGGTATGCTGTTTTCCTCACCAGACTATTCTTTTCCAGCCAGTCACAGAGGGGAAGGAGAAGAGGCCGTTGTTAGCGCCAAAACAAGAACCACCCGCAACACCCACTGCATTATTCAACTCCGAGATAGAGCTGAGTACGGACACCGAGGACAGCGCTTCCGAGACCAACAACCACGAGAATGGTGAGGAAAATACCTTTAGCGGAAAACATGACGTTTTTATTTGCTGAATACATTCAATTAGAACATTCTTGTAGATTTTGTAAAGATTAAAACATTCTACAATACAGAGAAAGTTATGCTCATTTTAGAGAGCTATCATTCTTTTTTCTGTATGGATGGGAGTGAAGGTGAGCTGGGTTACAACAATTTCACATAGCTATAAACATGGCAGGATTGAACCCTTAATGCTGTTAATTTTGCTTTTGTGTGTGGCTTTTCATAAAGGGCAAGTTTTATGTAAACGAATGGTACAAACCCTGGCAATGTCAGTATCAAACGTCGACCTTTTGCTAAAAGGTATCATTCATTGATAGGTAGCCGACAAAAATCAGCCAGGTCTAGAATCCATCCCACTCTGGATCAAAATGGCAGCCCGTTTTAGCAGTAAGCCGTTGGCAGTAAGGCTGCTGGTTTAGTTACAGTGCATAACTACTGTGCTGGGGCTCAGATAATGTTTCTTGTGTAAAAAACCCCTCATAGCTCTTGTGCTGTGTTACGACGCTTCTGTAGTTCAGAGATAGGTAGCCTTAAACTGTATGAATTAATGAGCTACCTCATGTAAATTTTATTGGTTGATTAAAATGTAATAAAAAGAGTAATCAACAATTTGACATGTTTTTGTTTAGCGGTCGGTAGCGTGGTGGAGCAGGTGGCAGCCGTACTGGATGCGCTGAGTGACGCGAAGGAGGCGACGAGACAGCGAGTGATCGGATTGGTGGAGAGGTTAGCCGTGCGGTTAGACCGGGTAGAGGCGGACAATCGCAGACTGAGAGAAGAGAACGACCAACTGCGCAAACAACTGCAGAGGGTAAGTCAATCACCCTTCAAAAAGTTAGAAATGCCCTCCTGGCTTTGTAAAAAGGAAAACGACTAGGCTTGTATCCTCTTAACTGATTTAGTGCTTATATGAAATTACATTATTTAAAGAAAATTGTTATCCAAAATATTACTCAAATTTATTAAAAAGTAAACATTGCTTTAACTGAGTAGTCAGTGGGTGAAGTTTTTGTAAAATAATTTAAGGTTACCGTTCTGATCCTGATAAGTCAGTTTTGATGGTTTAAGACTGGAATCGTTATCTGTAGTGATCATTTGCTTTATTAATGCCCCTGGATAAATGCCAGCTGATATTAATCCGTAACATACATACAGCTGTCATGTCATTCAATCAACACTCATCCTTCACTCGTAAAATACACACTGTTGTGTGTCTGGGCTTTTGAAATCTAATCTAATATATACATCCTAACTGAGAGTCAAAAAGTTACCTTTTCGATCCTGTTGTGAATGTTTTAGTAAGATTTTAAATAAAAAAATAATTACGTAAAGCCACCATCACTAGTGAATTGGTGTGAATTACTGATTTGTTTGGAATATACAAACTTTTTAACCAAGCTTAGCAACTATAGCATACCGGTATTTTGTCGTATAAACTATCAAAATAACAAAAACTTAGTGCAAAGACAGTAGCACACATTTTGGGTTGTACAAATATATTCTATTAGAATATAGAATTGGCTTCAATATGTCCACTGGTACAAATGGTTGGTTGGATTTTCTACTACAGTATGTATAAGACAAAGATAATATTCACCTTAACAGTTACTTTCCTCTCTAGCAGTCAATTTGTTGCTTGTTGTAGTTCACCAAGGAGTGTGAGGAGTTGAAGAGTTCCCCCGCAGTACCTGAGCTGCCCCGCAGTAGCCCCGTCTCTGTCATCACCTCCCCCGCCATAGTCAAAACTGAACCCCAGTGAAGTTCCTTCTCACTCATCATGTTTTCTACTATTTCTTAATAACGTGTACAAATGTGAACTTTTCTAAATGTTTGTTGTTAACTTGTCAAATTTCCTTCCATTTTCTTATCTACTATCCCAGTCTGTGATAGCATTGCTTAGATAAGGACCAGTTAACAACAGAACATTGATTTTATTTCTTCCGCAAGACTCTTGCTTGACTTTGGATCCTTACTTTTGTTGTTGGAGACATTTTACTGCTATGTCGCAGATAACATTTCTTTTTTAAAATAATTTGTAATATGTTTCTACATTTTTTTGTATAAATTATTTATTGAATCTGCTAGCAGTTTATAGAATTAGGCTAGAAAAAAACCCTCTTTGGACAAACTTTTGATAAGTTCCTTATTTTACCTTGTTGCTGAAAAATGTAAGGACCTTAGATCTTGAGCAAAAGTCTTCAAACTTTTCTTATCATTTTAAGGGTAATAACTGCCATTTTTCTTTTATAAAAATTACTAAATATTGTCATTGTATTATACCTTGTAATTATATATTGTTGTCATTTTTATTATTTATCATTTGACTCTTAGAGAAAGAGTCGAATGTAAAACTAATTTACCAGAGAATAGTCACATATTATTATTTTATTACATTCAATGTAATTTACTTTAATATTTTATTTAGTTGGTATGTACGAGACTTTAGGAGCAAGCTTTACCTAATTTAACTATTTCGAGTTATTTTTTTGTGCCCAAAGATTACTCTGGGTAGAATAATGTGACCTTTAAGAAAAAAATTATAAATCCCTAAAATTATGAAAACCGTAAGCTTATTATATATCCATTTATATAAATCAAAATCATGGTGAGTAAGCTATCTAAACCATCTTAGTGAGCCTGCCAAAATTATTATAAAAATCATTATTAAAATGCTTAGATAAACCGCTCAAATACTTTTTTGTGCCTTCCAATAATTAATTATAACTTTGGTTTTTTGTATTCTCAAAAATGTAATAATTGAATGTACAATAACGATATATTTTAATATATGTAGATTTTTTATCAGATACCTTCTTTGAAAAGTTTAAATTAAATTTCCTTGTAATAAATTTGTAGTTACACATTTATTGTGATTAATTTATTGACTTAGAGGATTTTATTGATATCGTATAAATTGCATCCAGACAATTAACTAGAAATTATGTGGTAAATGTTATTGGTATTCCGTATTCTTTGCCTTTTATCAGTGTTGACTAAATGCAATCTTCAAAAGCTTGTAAATTAATAAGCATAAACATAAGCTTAGCCAGCATACTGCCAAAAGCATAAGTTTGTTTAATTAGTATTTTAATCGATACTGCCAAAGTTGTAACATTGTAATCAGACATTTTGACTTATTGTGTCATTGTATTGTTAATTATTATCTGAATGTTGAAATATTATGTTTATTGTTTGTGAAGCAAGAGTAGCTTGTACTGAAAAGCCAATGAAATGCTCAATAAGTGCTCAAAGAAAAATTTGATAACCAATTTATTTATTTTTAATTAATTTTTGCACCTTAAAAATCGGTAACATACTTTACTTACATACTGTATAACTGAATTACCTGGCTGTTTTTAAACACCAAAATCAAACAGCATTTCTTTGAGCACTTTGAAGTAGTTTTGTATGTGACAAACATTGCTGACTTGGTCACCAATCCATACAACATAATCAGTACGATTTACTTTTTTTAGACGAATCAAAGATGTGAAAATTATCTAAATAGAAGAAAAATGGCTACATTAATGTATTTTAATTGAGAGTACAAATCTGCATAGGTCGCGGCCTTCCGCACTTGTGTTAATCTTTGTAAATATATAAGTAAATATAATATTTATATTTGTCTCATGACATACGTGATGACGAGACATTGTCGTAGCATTGCTGGTAGCTGGCGTCATATTATTTGTGATCTCAGACCTTTAGAAACAAAAGTCAATTTATTTTCATTTCTTCAGCTTTACATCGGTGCTATTTGAACTGCGGTCTAAAGTTAAGTTGGGTTCAATCAGCTTGTTTGTGTATATATCTGTAGATACTGTGTACCTGAGGTAGTCGTTCACTGCCAACCGGTCATAAACATGACGGGTTTGAACGGTAAAGTCGTGTCCGATCTGTGTACGGTTAGTTAATCGCTAAATTTATTGATTTTCCCTTCCGAGTTTCCCGCGGCTCAGATAAATGTTCAACGCTTCACTCCCATCATGTATAAATTTCTCTTAAGTTTTTTGCTGAAAAGACAGATCCAAAGTAGATTGCCCGAGCTAGACTGTGTATAATCTAAACCCCAGCACCACGAGAAATAGCCACAGATAGCTACTAGCCAATAGCCATGCTTCCCACTCAACTCAATAGCCACAGATAGCCACTAGCCAATAGCCATGCTTCCCCACTCAACTTGTACCTGACCTTGTGTTAGAAGTTAGAGTTTGTACTTTTGAGTAGCAATTCACCGATTCAATTTTTAACCTTTTGATTTAATAAATTTAATGAAATTGGGTTGTTTTATTTACAGTTCCTCACAGATTGTTAATTGCTGACTTTTTGTAGAGTTACTGTAATTATTTTACATTTTTACCGAGTTTTTAAACTGTTTAGCTACAAATTAAAATAGTACAGATTTTTAATGTAAACAATAATGAATTTTTGGGAATTTAGTTGTAATTGGTGAATTGGCAGCTCAACAGCACAAACAGAAAAAGATTGCTGTAGTATGTTGTAGGCAGATTATCAGGTATAGTTATTAGTAGCTGTGGCAAGCAGCAAGCCGTAACTGTAACGTAGCATTAACCATAACAGGTAGAGTGGCACGTATAGTCCGGACCCTACTGAAGCCGTTGTTTTATGTGTTAGTGAATACAGATCTTGCTTTGTTTTGTTTATGACTATTGTGTACATAAAGTTGATTATTGATATAAGAATTCTTAGTATAGAAATGCCCTTTTTGGGTACGTTGTTTTTATATTGTTTATTAGTGTTGACCCTGTAAATAGCAGTTGAAGACGACCCGAGTCAGCCGGTGTAACCACTCGTACCATAACTTTATATCTTTCCAAATGACTAATCGTTTTTTAGTTTTCATTTATTTATTTCCGAGCGAGGTTCGAATGTAGAAGCGACGGAAAAGAGAAGTAAGCGGGCTGTGATGGAATTTTTACGAGGGGTATTTTTGTAGTTTAGGGAGAAATTTGAGCTTGTTAGTATTTGGTGGGACGGTCATTCGAAAGTAAGCGTCAGAATGTTACGAGTTTGTATCGAGCGATGCATAAATATTGTTATCGAACCGAAAGTCAAGCCTTTTTTTAACGCAATTAGAATGTGACTGACTGAGCCTAATTTCCAATCGGAAATCTCTAAGAAACCACGTGTGTTCAAGTTTCCGAGTCTCGTTCTTTTGTGAAAACGCTGTTTTTTTATTGTTGTTGTATAGTTAAAAACTTTATATGATTAGTATATATTTTTAAAGAGACACTGCTATTGTATTATTTGTGTGTTAATTTCATTTGTCTGTTAGTTTGTGCCAATTCAGCTTTTGACGCTTGCTAGCGAGAGGGTTGACTATGTACATATTTATTAATTTATATTAATAGTAACGATTTTTACCCATAACGATGGGCATAAAGAAATGTAAAGAAATACCTCAATAACGAGTTTTATAGTACGATTTGCCATGAAGGTTAAGTCATAGAACGATACACGATTGACAAGCAAACTTTACTTCAGTTTTTTAATATTATTTATTCTTCTTTCCAAAACTAATGAATTGTTTAGTTTGTCTAGTATTTTATGCAACCAAAGTTGTTTTTAGTGAGGACCTCCCCGTTGTGGTACCTGTGATACAACTTAATTTTATTGAATTAAACTTTGCCCCATTTTGAAAACCGTCTTTCATTTTACCTTTTACCAGCATCATTGATAGTTGTAGAAAAGGTTTGTATCAAGGTCTGTATGCCTTTTCGATATGGTTAATTGTTTTTGTGATGATTCTATTAAAACTTTAGATGGCCATAATTTTCAAATGGATACAATAAGTTACTGAAATAATTATTTTTATTTGCGAAGACCTTCAAAATATAATGGGATTTTCCATTAACAATGAACAAACTTATGTTGTTTTTTTTGTGTTTTCTACGCCAATGGCGTTGTTTTTTTGTGTTTCCTACGTCAATGGCATTATTTTTTACATTTGAAAGGAAACTGGTCTTGTTACTATCTACTGTGGACCTTTTTGTTAGATGGCATCATTAATTCATAGCCCAATGACAAATGGGATCTTGGTCTGGAAAACATCTTGCTTGGAATCAAACCAGCAACCTTCAAGGTTTTCAGATTTTCACAATTATTTTGTGACCAGGATAGCTTTCACGATTTATCAGAGACCACACATTCAAGATGTACTCAATTTTGCTGTGACTGAAGAAAATTAAGTGCCATGACCGCTGTAGGTGTTCTTGATTTATCAGTGACTACGGAGGATATTCTTGACTTTGTCCGTGGAAGACGTTTACGATTTCGCCGAGACTCCAGAGATGCTTTAGATTTCACCGAGTTTGCTAAAGATGTTTAAGATTTTATCGTGATATGGAGGAGATTCATCACTTAATAAACTTAAGCTTTCAGGCAGAGTAAAAAGAATTGTTGTATTGTTGTTATTGGAGGGAGACCTCAAATAGAGACACATAACTGAAAATCTATGATCATATCTGAACTGGGGTTCACCTAATTAACCTATATATTTTACTTGATAATTTCAGGGAGGGTTCAGAACTGTATGTCGTTGACTATCAGCCACCCCAAAGTCGCAAACTGGACAACGGCTAGTTGCGTCAAGTCTTTGAATTGTAAGTGTAGCCGGCCTAGTGTTCCGAATATATGTATTTAAAAAAGTATTACGTTCACCATGTTGTAGGAGTACATGACCAAGACATTTGTCAAATTTTAACCCTCTTCAATTCAATGTTAAAATTGATAATAAGCCATTTGATATGAAAATAGCAATCCATTGACTCCTCAAAAGAGATGAAGGTTTACCAACTTTCATTTCTCAGTCTTGTAAGTAAGAATGATCAAAACTCCAAAAGGATAAAGAAAATAATTTTACATTTTATTTATAGTTTAATAACTTAGCAAAATTAATACAAAAATATTTTGGGACATTAAAGCGTAAGAAAATCATGACCTTTGTCTTCTAGAAGCAACTCCATTTTCTTGACATCCCTGCACCAGAAGTTCAATCTGTTGACCATTGAAGAAAGCTGAAACACATTGAGAAAGTCAGGAGTAAGAAATAAAACAAGTGATTAGTTTTAACTCGTTTGTTGATCATTTAAAAATTAAAATTTATTATGTATCTGTTAAATTAGACTATTACAGATACATGCCTAACGTCAGTGGCGTAACTAGAACGTGGCTTTGGGGGGGGGGGGGGATGGATGACGTCAAGGTCTGCACTCATGAGGGGGGTCTGCGAGGTATGTAACTGATTGCTGACTATCAGCAGGGGGTGGGTCCGGTGGCCCTCCCCCCAGAAATTTTTGAAAAACTAGAACTCCAAACTCGCGTATTCAGGCATTCCAGAGGTGTAATCACGTTCAAAAGAACTACAGCATTTTTTAAAGGGATTCTGTACATCTACAGGAAAATATCTTTCTAACAGTATGCTAAGATTTTCCCTGCGATGAACACAAGCTGAGAAATAAGGTTTTAAAGAAACATGCTTGCCTATTAATAATATATAGATGTTTAGCCTACAAATTACCTGAGTAGTATCAAGCACTCTGGGCTGTACCCAAGTCATGTGCACACTGCTGGACACCTGGTCTATTGCGCCGCGCACCAAACCCTGCGCTAGAGCCTTCATCACCAACAACTCAACCTCCTTGACAGGCAGTCGGGTCTCACGGGCGATCTCAGCGAACGTCAACTCCCGGTCATTGGCTGGCCTCTTGAAGGTCATCTGGGGAAAAACATTATCTTCACAATTTACTATCAAAATATTACAAAACTGAAGCTGGATTATGTACTCTGATCTCAGTAATTTTAACCAGACACTATCGCAAAATTTGTTTTAACAAACTTGTATGATATTAATTTGCGAGTTTGACTTTCATAAAAAACGTTTATTTAAGTCAAGGTTAGAGATTGGCATATTGGTGGTTAGTGAGGTTCACATTCCTAAATTAACAATTAAGGATTCCCAAAACATTAATTGGTACAATAATTTACTAAGTTAAAGATTTAAGGAGCTTTCCAAATCAAAACTTCGGGCTCAAGGCAGCGATGTCATGGGTTCGGATCCTGGTCATGCCACAAGCATTTTATCAGTACAGTTCACCTTTGTACTGTACCGGCACACCCCTTGCTTTGCTGGATACGTTCCACGCAAAGATCTGTAGTCTATGTGGACGGGCAATATGCAAGGTTAAAAGAGGCCACCAACCTCTTAAAAAAAAAAAAAATAATAAAACAGATTAATAAAAAACTAATCTGTAGAGATGAGTAATAAGGTCGAACCCCAAAATTCGTGTAGCTGTGTGGTCAGACATGTTCAAAGCAGTCGCTGTTTTTAGGTGGGGTTACGAGGACTGTTTTCGACAGCAACACTAAATCTATCGAATATTAGTTGTCCGGCGTCCGGTCAACTTATTTTTGAACGCAGATGCCATTGTTGTAAAGTTATTAATCCACCACATGATTGTGCTACCGACAGAACTTCTCCATGTTGACTTAATTGAAGGAATGCACGGAACTGCCTCTGAGTTGCAATGAATGAATCATAACTTTTATTAAACAACTTGATAACAAACCCACGTAGCTCAGGCGACAATTGCTCTATGACTACATAATAGCAAAGTATAGGTTTTCCAACGAGCTTACCCCCGCCACCCTCACATGACCTGTTACTGAACAGTGTGCAGTAGAAAATAGATTGGTATTTTCAATTTTGCCGCACCCTGTATAAGTAAGTTACCTCCATGAGACACAACAGTGAGATCTTCTGACGTAGCTTGATCTCCTGAGCTGCCAAGTCTGGAACGGTTTCCCACTGCGGTTTCATCTTCTCAAACTTTGCAATGTCTCCTGTGTTGAACGCAAACAACAGTTCCACCAGCCAAGCGTTGGCCGTCGTCTTCAGCGTGTTCAAAATTGGGTGAGCAAGCTGACAACATAAAAGTAACAGATTTAACAAAATACTTAACAACTTTTAGGTTAAGCGTCAACTGAACACCTGAATCCTATTCGTCAGAATCAATTGGAACCGGACTCTGTTCGAATTAGGTACCAAATTGCTTGGATTAAGTAAAGCATACAGTATCGTAATTTTTAAGAATGTAAATGGTAGTGATGGGAGGATTCAAGAAAATTGAATCTTGAACTAACACGTAAAGTTAAAAAAATTTAATTTTGAATTTTTATTTTCTCAAATTTTCTACAGGGAGCGGCAGAAATATCTGACGGTTTTCAAGCGAGTACAGTCCGGCAGCCGAGTGGAGGAGGGTGGTGGGAAGCGGCTCATTCTCAAGGCCAAGTGACCCCATTTTAGTCGCCATGGAGCAGTGGACCGGTATACATCGCGCGTTTGTCGTTGAGGCGTATTTTAAAAATGGTGATTCTGTTGTTGATATGCAACGTAAGTTTCGAAGGCATTTTAATGTGGCTCGTGGGGAACCTATCCCATCCCAAAACACCATCAAATTGTGGGTGGATACCTTTAGAACCACAGGATCAACTGCGAAACGTAGGCCTACAGGCAGTTCAAGGTCAGTGAGGATGCCGGAGAACATGGAGCGAGTGCGACAAGCTGTGCTAACGAGCCCGCATCGCCCGGCGTGTAGACAAGCTGCTGCTCTTGGCATGTCTGAGCGCTCTATTCGACGAATTTTGCACTCAGACCTTCACTTTCACCCATATAAAATAGCAATCGTCCAAAAACTACAGCAAAATTCGTCGAATAGAGCGCTCAGACATGCCAAGAGCAGCAGCTTGTCTACGCGCCGGGTGATGCGGGCTCGTTAGCATAGCTTGTCGCACTCGCTCCACGTTCTCCGGCGTCCTCACTGACCTTGGACGGCCTGTAGGCCTACGTTTCGCAGTTGATCCTGTGGTTCTAAAGGTATCCACCCACAATTTGATGGTGTTTTGGGATGGGATAGGTTCCCCACGAGCCACATTAAAATGCCTTCGAAACTTACGTTGCATATCAACAACAGAATCACCATTTTTAAAATACGCCTCAACGACAAACGCGCGATGTATACCGGTCCACTGCTCCATGGCGACTAAAATGGGGTCACTTGGCCTTGAGAATGAGCCGCTTCCCACCACCCTCCTCCACTCGGCTGCCGGACTGTACTCGCTTGAAAACCGTCAGATATTTCTGCCGCTCCCTGTACATGGATTGATTTTGATACTTTAACAATCCCAGTTTATACGTCTTTAACACACTAAGTAATTATGGGCATTGGAGTGATTTAAATGGATAGGCCTACAAGCAAATTTGAATTTAAACCCCACTAAAACATTGAATAATGTCATGTAAGAAGTAAATAATGATCTTACAAAAAAATATTTAAAAAAAATCTGAAATACCAGAATCAGTACGATAATTTTGTGTCGACAAGTTACTAGTCGTCTGACATTGGGATTCGACTTTGACACATTGACTTGCTATAAAATGGCTATATTGCTCCCACTATCACAACACACCATGATTGTCTTCTGCAATCACAGCAACATCGTGTTAATTTCCCACGATCACAGCACTACCCACGTTTGTCTCCCTCTAACGTAAAAATATATTTTCCTACCGTAATTGTGGCAACACATAGGAGCTTTTTATTGTGATCGCGTTCTTTTTATCATATTACACAAAGATTTCGAAAGAAAACCAATGAAATTCAGCTAATAAATAGACGTTTGGCTGTAGGTTATTGTCAATTATTCCAAACTTCCCAGAATTCACAGACCTTTTCTCTATCATCAAAATTCAGGTAAAATTCCCACCTTTCTTGGTTTCCCAATTGGATGAAAAAATAATTTAGAATACATTTAATTGTTTCACATTTAAATACAGTTAACTTTACACCTAAACAAATGGTTCGGATTAGCCATGTTGGATTGGCAAGACTCCTAGGTGTACTGTTAAGTTTTTAGAAGTACCAGTATACAACTTTTGTTTTGCAGCAATCTATTTTCTAAGAGAACCGGTTTGTAAAGGAAGTTATTAATTGTATCATAAAACTTTGATTATGTACAACAGAGATCTTACCAACTCCCCGAGGTTGTAGACTCCTTCGCCCAACAACGCAGCAAGACCGAGGAAGAAAGCATGTTGGACTTGATCACTGTTGGTCAACTCAGAGAGCTCCACACATCCCAAGTATCTAACAAAAACAATAGAAATATGAATGGAAAATATCTCTACTGGAGTAAACTGTCCAGTAACTTTCTTCAATTCTTTTCTAAAGAGAGGTCAAATATTTTTAAATACTCAAACTCATGCCTCACATGTCTAGCATTAAGCTCAGAGTACTTAGGGTGCTACAAGAAAGATACAAAATGTACTTTTAAATTGAATTTTAAAAGATTAACATACAAATTCTTGAATACATAAACTAGTAATCAAGATCAACTGATATATTCTCCCTAATTTGGGAGAAAAAAAATGTTTTCTGAAAACAGTTAAAACTTAAATAGTAATATGAAATAATATTTGTTAGCCTATAAGGAAGTTCACGTGCAGAATCTTTAAGCCAATCCCTTTGTTGGGAAATATTCATATTCATTAGTAATGGACATTGAGCATGAAGGGACCTAAAATATTTATAGGAGTGCCTGAATGATGATTAGGAACAAGAAATTGAAGGTTAATAAGATGAAGTTTAAAGCTTTTTAATGTACTACTGTATTTTTTAAATATTATAAACCTAATATCCCTTAGAATGCTCCAATAGATCATTGTAGAACAATGATAATTGTTCAAAAAATACAATAATATTATGGGAGTGCCTGAGAGATTGAGGGTAGTTGAGATTCAATTTTGAATGGGTCATGAAAGATGGTTTAAATCAATTACCTACTAAATTTTTTTTGGAATATTTACACCTCAATATCCCAGATAACAATCCAGTAAATGATTGTAGGATACGATTTGGTTCTCAATTATTAGAGGTGATGTGAAGAGACTGCATACCTGAGAGCTGTGCGGTAGTATTCAGCATGTTTGCCTTGCAGCCTGTAATACTGACTGGCCAAGAGATAGTATCTACCATGGACAGACGTTACACCATCAGCATCGTCCAAGATCTTCTCAACATCTTCGATTATTTTCTGACAAAACATACAAAAATTATAGAAATATACCTATATTATCAGCAAAATAAAACAAACTTTCTCACATTAGGTTGTCATTAAAATTGAACTGACCATACAATTTGTATGACCAAAACAATTATACTGGGTAACCAGAGAGGTTAACTCAATGGCAGGTTTATCACTAACCAAAAGGAGGATGCAGATAAAAACAATTTTTTTTAGATATTTGTGAGCTGATTGATTTTTTAGACGGGTCGAGCCTAGCCTTAAAGCTCAAGAGAGCAAGAACGAGTACTAAATTGAAACATCAAGACCAAGACTGAACCGATTTTTTAAACGCTAAATTATTGTGATTGTAGTACACAGCAAAGATTGCGCAACTGGGGAGGAGGAAGTACAAGTTAATTAATATTAAAAATTTACTTGATCCTCTTACAGCTAATAAGAACATACATTTTTCTTAGTTAAACAAAACCAAGCGAGTGGAACACTTATATTTAACTTCTTACATATATTGATGCAAGAGAATACTATAATACTAGTGATAGAAACTATAGTTGGTGTACATTGGCTTTTTCCAATCTAATACCAACAAAACCCCTTCCTAAATTGCCCAGCCTAAATGTAGGCCTTCCTCTATAAGACCTAGAATACACTGAAGCCTATAGTCTACGACAAGCTTACTCCGGACCACTGGGGAGGGTCGGGTCTGATAATCTGTCTATTTTCCACCCCCGAGGCGGCTCGACCCTCGTTATTGCCGCTCGGCCGCACTCAGTGGGAAACCCAATACCATAAATCAATTTTTTTAATAAAACCAAAATAATTGAAAATAATTATTTTATTGAGATTCACCTTCAAATTTCTATAAATTTGATGTAAAATTTGTCGTAAACCGGGCAATTTTTACCGACCATTTGATTACCAATGTAGGTACTAAATTATTAAAAATCGGTTTTTAAAAAATTTGGTAAATCTCAATATAACAATTATTTTCAATTATTTAGGCTATATTCATTAAAAAAATTTATTTATGGTATTGGGATCCCCACTGAGTGCCGCCGAGAGGCAATAATGATGGTCGAGCCGCCTCGGGGGTTGGACAATAGATGGATTATCAGACCCGACCCTCCCCAGTGGTCCGGAGAAAGCTTATCATAGACTATAACACTACGCTTCCTATCTAGGGCAAGTTTGATGAATCCAAAGTTCACAATGCATGGCTAAGTTTCAATATGTAAGAAGACGCTGTTTTCTTAAACCAAGACCTATTAAAACCCTATGTTAAGGACAGTTGGATACCCTTAAGACAGCAGTGAAATTCTCAGTGTAAATCAAAACCTCCATAAACTCGCTCTCTGTATAGCCCTTATACACATTAGCCACGCAAATCTATTAGAAAGTGTGCTGTTTAATCTACCTTTGTCGCCACCTGGTCCTTCAACTTCTCCAGAAATATCTGGCCTTCGAGGACCTTGCATAGTGAGACGGCTTCACTGTTCTGCTTGACTTTTGGCTCAGTCGTTTCCAGGAAGGTGATTGCTTCTTTAGGGTCAGAGATCTTGGGAACGATGAAAGCGATGATTTCTACCAAAGCCAGCGGATTGATCCTTGAATAATAAAAGTAAGATTTAGTTTGACACCAAAAACAGTAGGCAACTAAAACTACAATGTGACTTCAGCCTAGATATTTGGCCAAATACTTCTGTTATGTGGCCAAATTGTCAATGGTTTCTGTACGTAGTGTAGCATACATAACCAAATGACGCAGTCGACCCTCAAGACCAAGATTGTATATATACTGCAGTTTTTTGCAAAGTTGGAGTTTCATTGAGATTAAATAAATCTCCACAGTTTGTAAGGTTGTATAAATTGGCAAAGGTTAGGCTAGTACCAAAATTATTAACATAAACTTCAATACTTATTACTGGCAAACAATTCAAATGTTTTTCTCAAAACCATTAAAAATATTCAATTGGGTTTTACAACTTTAAATAAGTTAATCTGTGTATAGGTAGGCCTAACCCATTCTTTAGTACGGGATAACAGTTATGATTTTTACCACACTTACTTGTTTTCAAATCCCTGAATAAAGTTTTGGTATAGATCGATGAGTTCATTTCCCTTTTGCAAAGCTGGGTTCATGACAAAACTGCGAAGTTTCAATGTCAGTTGATGCCATAGCCTGTAATATAAGAAGTAACAGCTTAAGTTATAACATCATTGCTATTACAGTAATTGATAGTACCAAACTACCTAAAGGCTATAATAACATAACTAATTACATCAACTAACAAAACAACTACAGTAGACACTCTATTATCTGGCACTGCTCCACTCCGTCACTCCAGTAATCCAGTAATTGGTGTCTTTTGATGGGTGTAATCTTCCGCGATCCAAGTGGCCGTGTAGACATCCTCAATGACTCCCACGGTCATGGAAACGTCATCGTCGTATGGCGCGATCGCAGCAAAATCATTAACATCTCAGGCAAGTTTTGTGTGTTTGAAGTGTTTTTATTGATGACATTCCAGTAATCCGGCAGTATCACGGTCCTATATCTGCCAGATTACTAAGAGTCTACTGCGTACTTTCCTGTTATTATGAGAGAACATTCATTATTATTGATGATTTTTTTCAATATAGGCCTATCAATATTTTATTTTTTGATATATCAATACTATCTTAATAAATGATATATCAGCGATTGGTACAACAAGTAGTAAACATTTTTTTATTTTTTTTTTCATGAATCAAAACTTTATATTGTAAAATACATTAGGCCTACTTATACCTTAGCAAACAATAACGAAAACAAAATAAGAATAAACAAAACTAATAGGCCTATATCTAAGAAAAGGCCTAAATGGCGATATCAATCAATCATTTAAGATGGGGACGCCATTCGCCAATTTATTTATTTTAGCAGTTAAGTTATTTAATGTATGATACAAATCCTATTGTACATTTTGTATTGAATGGTGAATAAAGCTTTTAAATCTTTGAATCAATATGTAGGACTATGTATTTTAACCCAAATGAGTGAAGGATGAGTGGCGCGATCTTGTAGTCTTGTCAATGACTAAGGCTTACATATATTCCTTAGACACAGCTGTTGACTAATAGCCCATACAGTTAATGGCAACTAAGGGACTTAAAGTTTATAGTGGAATCCGAACCACAGTTTTGCCTTGGTATTAATGAATTGGTCTAATCATCAGGATAGTAGGCTACTGCAGGTAGTCGTAGTACTCACTAGTGCGGACGTTAATCCACACGAGAGAGTATTGCATCAACAGTGCATGCCTATAAATATCCACAAATCTCTGATAGTATATGTTAATATCGATATATGAGATAGAAAAATAAAACTTCGATAAATTACACCATCAATAAAAAATTTAAAAAACAATCAAATGAAAAAAATTATTGATAATAATGAGAGTTCCCTCTAACAGGAAGTGTAAGTTAATACGTTCGCTACCGTACCACAATAATTAGGCCTATATGGAATTTGCATGGACCAGCAACGCATTTGTGCGTCTAATTGTTTCTCACAGTAGACCACCGACGCGTATTTGCATCAGCTGCTCACATTGAAATATAGCATAGCCTACTGATAACGCACATTTGTGTCGGTGTTCCATTGGTATTAAACAGCTTTTTTCTTAGCAACGGTCTATTTTAAAACCCTGATCTCTTTGTATCAGTCCAGAGGGATATCTGCCAAACAACTTGTGCATTGCTTGATCATTGGCTATGACGATTGGTTCGTCACACAACAGTTAGCAATATTGTTGTTTACATTGAAATTTCCGCGGCATCACTGAACTGCGATGTATAAGTGCTAAACTTTGTAGTTGATACCAAAACAGTATTTAGCCTAAAATATTTGTTTACTCTCTACCTTTAAACAAGTCTAAACAAGAAACTTTACGACCCACAAGAGCGTCGCTTGGTCTATTGAAACAGAGCTTCAACCTTTTTTACAGGTTTTTATTATAAATAAGTACTTACGGTAGACTGACCGACATGTAGATATGCAGTATTACAAAAATTGCTCAAAACAATAGGTGAAACAATATTTAGGCCTATTGCTTAGCCTACTAATTAAATTTAGATTGATATGAAATGAACTAAGTTAGTACATTTAACTGATGATATTTCTTTTTTGGACTGTCAGAAATGTTATTCCTTTATCAGTTGGGCTGTAAGCAAAGTTATGATGATTCCTTTTGGTCTGTGAAAGTTTCCAAACCGACGCAATTGTGCGTCGCTCGGTAGTGAGCGTGTTATTTTAGTTGTAAGGTAAATGGGAGAGTTTAGTAAGAAATGTATTAAACTCAAGTTTGTTAACAATCTACCTACCCACTTAGATTTGTGGAAGACAACCCAACACCTTTGGGGGTCGCAACACCTCAGCCGGCGCAGAACCTTGGTTCTTGTTACACAGTCTGCTTTAAAATTTTCTTTTCATGTTATGCTATTTATTGGGGTTAAGATTATTTAGATTTAATTCTCCATACATGCGTAGGCTAATCTTGACTAAACTTATGCTAACTTATTTAAAGCCATTTGTAATAAGTTACAATCTACAAACTAAACTAGGCCCCTACGTCAAACAAGATGGCATGGCGGGTGAATAGTATTTTAGGCCTAAATACTAATCATGCATAGGCATAAGTAAAGTTATTGTTTCTTACTTCTTATTGTGCAGTTCTTCCAAGGCAGCCCATTCAGCAGATAGTTCTTTGTCGGCCTGAGCTTGTTTAGCAGCAAGGTATGCATTAAAATCTTTCGCTCCAGTAGATGTACTCGCCATTGTGTACACCAAGCAAGGAATTCTCAAGTAATATAAGTTATAATTAGGTATTTCGATAGAATAGAATAAGAAACTTCCAATTCAATCCAAGCAGTAGACACTTACGACGATGACAAACAAATTTCGACACGACAAGTTAGGTTAGTGTCAGTCTCTCTTACTCTAAAAACAAAAGTACAACGAAAGGAAGAAGAACTGTAATGAAAAAAAAATCACTAGCTCAGCTCAGACATCTGGACAAACGTGCTAGCTAGCAAGAAGCATAGATTAAACATACTACCAACATAGGCATCAACATAGATTATAGTTGGATCTTTAAAGGTGGACCAAGGACCAAGATGAAAGTAATGGCTTGACAACTGCAGTAACGTCAACGGGAGACGCCATTCGGCGAGGTGAAAGTGGGGCGCGCTCAGTCTGACCCTGACCCAATAAGCTAAAAATTTAACTGGAGTGTATTAGCGAATTTCCCATATAGGGAATAAGCTATTACCGTAGTACTCATGGTAAGACCTGGGCCCGGGACCAACTTTTAGTAGACGTAGCACAGATTGCGGACAAAATTGACCTTGAGATGATCTAGGTGTAGATAGGGTACTCTCAGCTGATCAGCTGGATGTAATCTAACCACAGCTGATTAGCTGACGTCAGTAGGTATTTGTATTAAATAAATTATTAAATTAAATATTAAATTATGGATAAAAAGTGTTGGCTTGACCGGGTTTCGAACTCGGTTCTTTTGAATGGTAGTCGGGTTCTTTACCATTGAGCTACAACAGCTGTGTTAAGGGTATAGGTTTTATATCGGTAAACGACACCTTAACTTATAGAGTGTGTCAACTTACAGGGTGTGTAAATATTGGAGTTTTAATCTTAGCCTATCATTTGGAGGTCTATGGGTTCAATCCTAACCAATTATTTAGAGGTTCATGGGTTCGAATCTAACCAACCACTAATTGTATTATAGTGAGAGGTTCAGGGGTTTAATCCTAACCCTATGCTAGAGGTTCACGGGTTCGAATCCAACCAACCCCTAGTGGTATTATAGTGGGAGGTTCACGGGTTCAATCCTAACCTATCATTTGGAGGTCTATGAGTTCAATCCTAACCTATGCTAGAGGTTTACGGGTTTGAATCTAACCTAACATAAAATATATCATTGGAGGTTTATGGGTTTAATCCTAATCTATGCTAGAGGTTTACGGGTTTGATCTTAACCTATCATTAGAGGTTAGTAGCGAACAAACTTAAACCAGGACGTGATTGAGCTATGCGAACAAGGTAATCTTGAAAATTAAGAAGTTAAACGGGGCAAAGCCCGCGGGTTACAGCTAGTGTATAATAAATGTGAAATAAACAGATGTTAAAAATAGCTGAAAGAGGGATTAAGTTTACCATTGAGTATAAAAAATGGCCTTTGTAAAGGCCACCAAATATATTATGTTAAATTTACATTTTATAGATGTTATGTATATTTGGGGTGTCTAAAGGGTAATGGGGTGTGTAAATGTTTTTTTCTAACGGTTGGTTGTGTATGAAGCTGTGTATGAGCTAGAGGTTTGCGGGTTTAATCCTAACTATTCACCAAATACCAAGTAACTATTAACAAACGTTTTATTTCTAATTGGGGTATTTTTAGGTATAGTGTTATAACGTAGTAGGAGTGGTGGGAGTCCTAGAGGTTCACGGGTTTGACTCTTACCAATCACAAAATGTGTTATTTTCGGTGATATGTTGCTTCAAGGTATAGTTAACTGTTTGTATATGAGTCTAGGAGGTTTGATCATGTGATCTCTTGTATATGTAACATAACCTTACTTTTATCCAAACCAGTCTGTTAATTTACCATAGTTGATGGTATAATTATAATAATGATTAACTTGATATAAGATTCATCATAACAGATTACTCTGAGTTGAGGTATTAGTTTAAAAATTCTCTATTAGGTAGCAGCACCAGTGTCTTGCCAACTACTGTTTACATAACTTTGTATTGTTTATGTGATATAACCTCATTTTATGTATTCTACTGGCTGTTATAGCTGGCGGACTGCTTCCCCTATTAGATGATGTAATTTTAAAACCTGTTGGATATTCAGTTGAAAGAATAATGAAAACAGTTGTGAAAGCTAAATATGAATTTATTTATATATACAAACTTATTACTAAATACTTAATAATGCTAGTAGAGGAGGAGGAGAGGGGCAGCCATCTGAAACAAACAATAAACATAATTAGTATAAAATAATTATATAGTATATAATATTAAATATAATTAGTACAATGTCTACATCCTGTGTGGTATTGCATCATCCAAAACAGCAACTATCACTTCCTGTGTACCACATTCTGATAACCACCTTTGATAACTATTTTGTGGTATTGCATCATCTAAAACAACAGCTATCACTTCCTCTTGTGTACCACGTCACCTTTGATAACCACATTTGTGGTCATTCTTGTCCCTATATAAACTCTTATCGCAACCCTGCCATTATTGCATCACTTTGCTCCCAGTGCTTCAAGATGATGGATGTAAGTAACTCTGCTCCAGTAGATTCCAATGAATCTATTGATAGTAATGAACCTGTAAATGTTGTAGAAGATTCTGTTGAAGTAATTGTCCCTGTAAATATTTTAGATAAACATGAAAATTATGTAAAGAGATTTAGAATTCATGGAATTAATACTGTTTTTAAGTTTTCTAACCCCCCACCAGAAACTAGTGAGATTGACTGGCTAAGACAAGGGTTTGGTCAAATTGTTAATGAAATGAAAGAAGTTTGTCAGGAGGGCGATCAATTGGGATTCACTCTGCGTTCACTTAACCTAAAAAGTAAAGAGCCGGGGTTTGTTGCTTTTCGCCCTGCAAATGAAGTTAACGAGGATGTTTTGTGGCAAATATTTGGGGGAATTGTACAATCAAATGCTGAATCAATCAAGTCCACAGATACGTTTCAAGTCGAATGTACCCGAGTTAATCTACCTGTAGGTTCAGGGACCCGTAGAAGACCAGGCTTGTACAACACCTTTGATGAAGAATGTAAAGCAAGAAGAGGGGTTGTTGTAATTAATAATAAAGATAACCTGTGTCTTCCCCGCGCTATTGTAGTGGCTATAGCTAATATAACTAAAGATCCTGAATATGATTTAGTAAAAAAGGATAGGGCAAATAGGCAGATTGTTAGGGCTCAGGAACTTGTACGTAGAGCTAGAGTCGTGATGCCTGAGGGTGGTGCTGGCATTCCCGAACTTGAAAAATTCCAACATCTGCTTAAAGATTATAAAATAACTGTGTACAACTACAACGCTAAAGGCCGCGATGTATATTTTGAGGGTAGTGTTGAGAACCCCAAGTTTAAAATTAACTTGTTGTTTCATAACCGACATTATAATGTAATTACTAGCTTGACAGCAGCCTTTGTTTGTAAATATTTTTGTGAGGCCTGTCATATCCCGTATGATCATAAAGGAGCTCACAGATGCTCAAACATTTGTCCTTGTTGCCAAACCATCTCACCTCCTTGTGTAGAGGAGTATGGGGGAATTTTGTGTCCTAAATGCAATCTAACTTATAAAAACCAACGCTGTTTTATCGCACATCAGGTTGATAGGTGTAAACATGTGAAGAAATGCCTTGACTGTGGGAAACTAGTTTTGCTTAAAGAGAGGTCCAAGCCTCACAAGTGTGGGGAAGTATTTTGTAAACCTTGTGGGGAGTATAAAGATCCCAACCATAAATGTTATATGAAGCCCAATGAGGGAAAACCTAAATCTAAAGATTATGCTTTTATTTTCTTTGACTTGGAAACCCGCCAGGATGAGCCTCTGCCCTCTGACCCTGAAAGTAAATTGCATAAAGTAAACTTGTGTGTGTCTCAGCAATTTTGTTACCAATGTATTGAGGGGAAATTCTGTATTGCATGTAAAAATCGTACACGAGTGTTTGACTCTGACCCTATCAAACAGTTTATGAACTATGTAATGTATGTAAGGAAACAGTTTAAAAACGTCTGCGTAATTGCACACAATGGGCAGGGGTTTGACTTTCAATTTTTGCTAAAGTACTTGTTGGAAGAAACAAAATTTACACCAGAACTTGTAATGCGGGGAACTAAAATCATCCTAATGGAAGTCGACAATGTGAGGTTTGTCGACTCACTTAGCTATTTTCCTATGGCTCTGTCTGCTCTACCTAAAGCCTTTGACCTACCTCCAGAGAAAAAGAAAGGCTACTTTCCCCATCTTTTCAACACTCTGGCAAACCAAGATTATGTAGGCCCTATGCCGGATAAAAAGTACTACTGTCCTGAATCTATGTTTGAGAAATCCCATAATGACTTTGAAAAATGGTACAGTGACCAGGTGGCAAACAACTATGTGTTCAACTTCAAAAACGAGATCCTAGCCTATTGTATTTCAGATGTTGATATCTTAGCTCAAGCCTGTCTAAAGTTTCGCTCAATTTTCCTAAAAGAGTGTAATGTTGACCCGTTTCTCGAGGCTGTTACCATTGCAAGTGCCTGCAATCTAGCTTTCCGCCGTAATTTCCTGAAACCTAACACTATTGGACTCATCCCTAAGAATGGCTATCGATTAGTAGACAATCAATCAAATATAGCACTCCAGTGGCTTTCTTGGGTCGAGGAAACCAACGGGATTAGGATTGACCACGCAGGTCGAGGCAAAGAAGTCAAAGTCAATGGAATGAAAGTAGACGGGTTTGATGGCAGAAATATCTATGAATTTCATGGCTGTTATTTCCATGGGTGTCTTAAATGCTTTCCTTACAACCGTCACGCTCCTTTGAAAGAGGACCCTTCTGATAGCCTACATCTTCGCTATGAGCGAACTAAGGCTAAAAACACAAAGTTTACAGAACACACACTAGTAGAGATGTGGGAATGCGAATTTCGTAAACAGAAAAAAGATGAAAATCTCAACCATCTGGACAGTTTGCCTATCTTAAACAATCTTCCACTTGATCCGAGACAGTCTTTCTTTGGAGGTAGGACAGGTAATGCGAAATCTTACCACAAATGTGTTGAGGGGGAAACTATACAGTATGTTGATGTTTGTTCCCTGTACCCTTATGTTTGTAAGTATGGGAAGTACCCTGTAGGTCACCCAACCATCTATGTAGGA